GATATTTGCAAGGTGATGATTATGAGTATTCTTCTCAGTGCAAATTTGGTGATATCAGAGGGCTTGCCTGTATATTACAGCTTTCTTTGAGGAAAGATCTTGATTGCTGAAGTCTTGTTTGTATGTTTGGCCAATAAACTGTGACTGCATTTCTGGCGTATGGCATTTGCTTAGTGATTGATGGGGCAATCCCTAAGCAAAACTCTTCCCTAATAAACTGAAGTGTCTGCACCTTCTTCAAAAATCAGGTTAAGGATTACTACTCTTGAAATATCTGGAAGAGTTGTTCTGTTCAGTGCAATAGAGAACTGCTGAAGAGTGAAGATTATTGCTTCCACAGTATATTCGATATCATTTGGCTTGGGGAGGGAGGGTTGGACAGCCCTGTTTTTAGAAGGTGATGGTCAAAGTCTCTCGTATGCAATAAATTAGTGGTTGAATTCCTGGAATTTTGGTACAGGCATTTTCCAAGGATTAAAAAAAATGCTAATGTTAGCTTTATTTTTTTTAAATATTATGCAGTGCTAAAAAGTTGAATGCCTATACAGACATAAATGTTGGAGACGAGAATCTAGTGGCAGGGAAAAAAAAAAGGCTTTCGAGTGAAAGAACATACAGAAGTTTAATATTAAATTAAACCAAACATGCCTTGGCATAGCTCTCGTATGAGATTTTAAGTACTTTAACTAGAACTGGTAAAGGATTAATATAAAAGGAAGTAAAGGAAGGAAATTGCTGTAATAAAGAGATAAAAATTAATTGTCCTAAGACATGCAATTAACTTTCAAATCTTGTTCCTAGTAGACTTCCACAACGTGTTCATGTTGCAGATACCAGCACAGAATGTGAAATGCTTGGAAACGGAACAGAGAATGATACTGATACAAATGATGCATATTTTGTACCGTATTTGTCGCAGGCCCTTACAAAAATGACTACAGACACAGGTAACCAAATCTAAGTACCGACTACATGTGTGTGCATTTTCCTTTCTATTTGAAGCTAGAGTAATATGTAATAACTTTTTTTATCTACACACACACACACACACACACACACACAACTTAGTTAAAGCTTCTAAGCAATGTTCTTTAAACCATCCCTTTCATTTTCTTTCCGGATTTTGGCTTTCCTTTTTTGGCTTTTATTTTGTAAAATGCTGAACTTTAAAAAAAAGAAAGGCTGAAATTAGCATGCTGTTCGGTCCACATTTGTGGTACATCGGTAACTTTTAAAATAATGAATTTTTAGGTTGTTTGATCAGCACTTAAACTTCCTGAAGGACAGTAGGTATATAGCAAATATCCAAGAGGCTTTTATTTTAAATCTTGTGGGAGAGGCCTTCTGTATTGGTTTCCCTTGCTTTAGGCTGTACATGTATTCCTAGAAAATGGTGCATGACTCAAATTCGCATAAAGGGAACCCACTTTACAATGTAACAAATAGGGATACATTCCAAGATGTCGACTGTACTGACCCCTGTGCCGCTCCTGGGGCAGGTGCAGCTGCAGAAGCACGGGCACCAGCAGCCCTGAGTAGCAGCCGCAGGCACTGCTGCCAGGTGGCTTCATGGCTCAGCTCCCAGGGTGCTGCGCTGACAGGACTGTACTGGGCCATGCTGTGGAGGAGCCGAGCGTGGGGTCGTCCCTGGGCCAGGGGCTTCACAGTGGCACCATCATCATGCTGCCCCTCACGTGTGGCGTTGGCACAGGGATGGGGGGGAGCCCCCCGGCACCCTTGGATGAGCTGCCTGGGTTCCAATTGTCCCACCACCTGGTCTGGGCCCCACTCCTCCCTCATTTGCGGGGGCCTTGGTCTCCCCCCCCAGCCCCTTCACCCCCTCCCCCACATACCTGCTTGGGGGAGTGGGGGTGCATGCACCCACAATGCACCTCAAAGCAGCTGATTGTGGGCTTCCACCA